GGCAGCATAGTGAGACTTTGTCTCAAAAAAAAAAAAAAAAAAAAAAAAAAGATAGGCAGGATTGCCTGACACAGTTCCCAGCTTGACTGTTCCTAGCTGGCGTTCTTCTGTAAAAGAGAGCTTTCTTACCTCTCCCCCAACCTCCATCTCCACGGAGTGAATTTTTTTAAATTCAACATGATATAATCCATTACTATCACATTATTATTCTTTTTGATGCCCAAATTACCCAAAATTTGGCTATTGGGAGCCTTTTCAAGAGGCTCCTGTGTCCTTCTTCTGTTTTGTTTTGTTTTTTTGAGAGGGAGTCTTGCTCTGTCGCCCAGGCTGGAGTGCAGTGGCGCAATCTCGGCTCACTGCAACCTACACATCCCGAATTCAAGCGATTCTCCTGCCTCAGCCTCCTTACTAGCTGGGACTACAGGCGCCTGCCACCACACCCAGCTAATTTTTGTATTTTTAGTAGAGATGGGATTTCACCATATTGGCTAGGGTGGTCTCAAACTCCCAACCTCAGGTGATTCGCCCTCCTCAGCCTCCAAAGTGCTGGGATTACAAGCGTGAGCCACAGCACCCGGCCTCCTGTGTCCTTTTGACTTGGTCCCATTAATGTTTAAGCTTTTCCGTGCTTTCTCACACAAGATGTTCCAGAATCACTTTGCACTTCCCCTGCTGCAGACTTAGAATCAGTCATTTCTTGAAAGAAATCTTACTCCTTTTAGTTGGGAACGGTATTTTAAAATTGACTTTTTACTTTGTAATTTTATTTTATTTTTGAGACAGGCTGTTACTTTGTCTTCCAGGCTGAGTGCAGTGGTGTGATCACGGCTTACTGCAGCCTCAACTTCCTGGGTTCAAGCACGCCTCCCACCTCAGCTGCTCCAGTAGCTGAGACTTACAGGCACGCACCACCATGCCCAGCTAATATTTTGATTTTTTTGCAGAAATGAGGTGTCACTCTGTTGCCCAAGCTGCTGTCAAACTCTTGAGTTCAAATGATCCTCCTGCCTCGGCCTCCCAAAGTACCAAAATTATAGGCATGAGCCACCGTGCCTGGCCTGTAACTTTAAAATGATTATTTAATATAAATAATTTAAATAAATTTAATACAGCAGCAGAGATACTGCTCCTTTAAAGAGCAGGGCTACCCCATAGGCAGTGTGCCCAGAGCAGCCTCAGGCCACATTCTTGTTTCCCCTCTCAACCTCCTAAAGTTGTGCATATTTCAAGGCTAAATCCTTAGCCTGACTGGTTTCAGATGAGGCCACATCTCCAAAGACTGTCCTAGGTCCTTCCTAGGATTTCACTGGAGCCCCAAGTCAGTTACTTTTACCAACTTTCTTTTTTTCTTCCCTCCTTACTATAGAGTTAAGAGGAAAGTGCACTATTTCTCCTGGTCATGTCCCTATCAAGGATAATAAAAGAAAAAAAAGAAAGAAAGACCTAAAAGGGCTACAAATTACTAGAAAAATAGGAGCACACACTTTTCTTTTTAGTGGAAATACAGACTATTTCTATTTGATATGAAAATAACATGATTCTGTGTTGAAAGGACACAATTTAAAATGCAGCAACTCTCACCTATAATCCTAGCACTTTGGGAGGTCGAGGTAGAAGAATTGCTTGAGGCCAGTTCGAGGCTGCAGTAAGCCAAGATTGCTCCACTACACACCAGCCTGGGTGACAGAGCAAGACCTTGTCTCTAAAAAAAAGCAAACCTGGCCATTTCACTCATTATGGACTCCATAAGAAACCACTGTTCAAATATTTATGGAGAGACTGTGTGCTTGGAACACAAACATATGTTAAGATCCAGTCCTTCAATGAGCTTGAATTTTGAGTTTTCTAACTGTAGTGGTTTGTGACTTAAAGTTGGATCCTGATAATAACGGAAGGGGGACATGGGAGTAGAGAGTCTCCAAATGGCCTGCCAAGTCAAGTTCCTCTATCTTACTCCAAATTCAAGATGCTTCCCTGCCCTTCCCACCTGAAATCAAAATAGGGCTACTTCCTAACAGAGCCCAGGCTCCCATCCAAAGGTTTATATTGGGTATAGTAAAGAGTCCCTTTCCCCTATCTTACCAACACAAACTGTTTCCCTATCTCCCCAGCCTGGAGTCAGGGCCGGGGGGAAAAAGAGGAACAGGACCAGAAATAGGTAGAGATTCACACCCCTCAGGGTATGTGAACTCTTCCCAGTAAAGGGAGATTGCCTACCAATACAAACCTATCACCTCATGTTCTGTTCACATTCCATCACCTCAGGAAAAAAAAAAAAAAGAAAAAAAAAAAAGAGCAGGCAAGCGAGAGCACATTGTTTTTATGCACAAAGCAAGGAGGAATACATTCACATACATATATGCATATATAAATATGTGTTCATACAAGGACTGTTGTGGAAAGTTATAGTGGAAACTGAAAATAATTGGTGGATAGGGTGAAAAATGAAAAAGAGCTGTACTTTTTAGTAGACTTTTGTGCATGTATTCGGTATTTAAAAATAAATGCCCAGAGATTCCGTCTCGAAAACAATTTTTTTTTAAATTAAAAAACCAAAAAAAACAAAAATTATCCAGGAGTGGTGGTGCACGCCTGTAGTCCCAGCTACTTGGGAGGCTGAGGCAGGATAATCGCTTGAACCCGGGAGGCGGAGGCTGCAGTGAACCAAGATCGCGCCACTGCACTCCAGCCTGGGCAACAGGAGAGATTCTGTCTCAAAAATAAATAAATAAATAAAAATAAAAATCAATGACTCAATAAAAAATGTACATGAAAAGAAAAAAATCACAAGGTCATGGGGGAGCTGTTTTGCTGGTGTGGAAAGATTCAGAGAACGATATTTGGTAAGAAATGGATTATAACTGCTTGGTCTGAAGCTGCATCAGAGGATTATATGAGAGTTACTGTAGATGGCGATCCTCGGAGTGGCTCAATTTTCAAAGGAGAGAGAAACATTGGTTCAAGTGAATTACCATTTATATAAAATGTTACAAACAAGTGGAAAAAAACGCCGAGCCCCTTGCCGTGCCATTGTTCCCACAATGCCGTGACTCGGATTCGAACCGAGGTTGCTGCGGCCACAACGCAGAGTACTAACCACTATACGATCACGGCGAGCTACCGGGGACCCGTAGGTTTCCGCTTCCGATTACCCTCTTCAACAGTCGTAGGCCTTCCCAGTTTGCGCGTCATGAAATGTCCTACTTCTGGGGCGGAGTTCCAGCCTGTCGCTGAGTCTGATAACGCGCAGGCGCGTTGTACTCCGCCAGTTGCTTTTCTTCCTCTGTTTTGGCCCATTAGCCACGGGCGGTGGTGATGATGACCTGGGCTCCCTGTGAGCGCAGTGGAAGTTTAAGGGAGACCGCGCGAGCATCCAGGAATGGGGCTGGGCGAAACTCAGACTCGCCTTGGGGGATGCCCATTTCGTATGCCACGGAGACCCTTGCCGCCACCCGTGGAGGGTTCCGGGCCTGCAGGGGGCGCTCCTCACGGGTCCTCCCTCCTGCATCCTCCAGCGGTGACCCAATGCCGCCTCTGTGGAGATTGTGGACGCCCTAGAACCGGGTTCCACATAGAAAAAAAATCAACAAACGCATCTCCCCATCTTCCCAACACCCACTTCTTCCAGCCTCTCATACTTCCCTGACCGCCCTGACTCCTCCTTCCTCAATGCCCCCGATATGCCAGGTGCCCACCTAGGCTGTGTCCCGGGGCGGCAGCAGGGACTAAGTCCTGTTTTAATTATTGTCCACCAGTGTTCTCGCCCCCACGGCGCCTAGAACCGGCCGAGTACACAGCAGGCACTGGCTATTTGCTAAACTCAGAACGTACCATTGGTATTTAACAAGCGAATTCCAGACAGACCATCTGCCTCTCCGGTGTCACCCGCTCCCATCAATCTTCCCTGTGCAGAGCCACTGGAGGGATCTTGCTAAACACGATGTAAATATTTTCATTCCGGCCCTCCTCACCCTCACCCCTGGACGGCAGAAACTTTGTCTGCCTCTTCCAGTTCATCTCTTGGCCCTCCTTCAGGGTCGTTGCCCATTCCTCAATTGCACTCATTCACTCTACACGTCCTTGAGAAGCGCCTACTACCTGTCAGGCTAGAGCCTTTGGGCGTTGTTGGGGTGGGGACTTACAAAGAAGACAGAAGACTTATAAAGAGGAATTAAGACCTTTACTTTTTGGTGAAACCCCGTCTTTACTAAAAATACAAAAAAATTAGCCGGGCATAGTGGCGGATGCCTGTAGTCCCAGCTACTCGGGAAGCTGAAGCAGGAGAATCGCTTGAACCCAGGAGGCGGAGGTTGCAGTGAGCCAAGATCGAGCCACTGCACTCCAGCCTGGGTGACAGAGCAAGGTTCCATCTCAAAAAAGAAAAAAGAAAAGAAAAGAAAAAAAAAGATTTTTCCTTTTCAAGACTCCCTTTATCCTGGCTGCCTGACAAATTCTCATTGTGCCTTTAAGAGCTACTTTGATCCTCACTTCCTTTGCTAAGCCTTCTTTTCCTATCATTAGGAATCTGCTACCAGGGCTTCCGTGGAAATTTATACATACGTCTATAACACTCTTTAGACTGGCGAGTGCTCTGTGCTTTGTCTCCAAGAACGCGCCCGGGCTCAGAGGACCCGGAAGCCTATAGCTTTCCAAAGTCCAACTTAGCCAGAGCCAGCATAAACGTCGCTCTCAAATGTCACAAGGAGATCGGGGTCCATTTTCCACAATGTTGTGAACTCAGGATTAAAAAACGGATTGGTACAATAAAACGTGGCCCCCTTGCCGTGCCGTGCCATTGTCCTCACAATGCCGTGACTCGGATTCGAACCGAGGTTGCTGCGGCCACAACGCAGAGTACTAACCACTATACGATCACGGCGAGCTACTGGGGACACGGGGCCTCGACTTGTCGCCTGAACTCTTCTCTGTTGAAAGCCCCGCCCCCTTGCAATGTCATTGACTTGTCACTGTTTATTCTCGCCTATCTCCACCCTCGCAGCCATCTGAGGGCACGCAGGCGCATTAATCTCTGCTCGCCCGATTCTGGTCCACACTTGCCTGCGGACGAGACACCCCGGTTTCTCCACCGTGGAGGCTGCTCTCGGGGTTCCTCTTATCCCGCGCCTCAAGGAAGTTTTGTGGTGGTGGGTCAGAACTGATTTTCCTTGTTGTGAAATTTAAGAGACAGCTCCAGTCCCAGCTAAAGTCGTTCAGTTAGCATGATAGCCAGGGCATGGTGAGCATCAGAGAGACTTCGGGTCAGCATTCCGGCGTTCCCCAGGGGCTTCACACCATTGCAGGCCCGGACTCACAGGAATCCTTTGGTTGCAAAGCGCTTTCATGTCCCTTCTTTTGCGGTCCGTGTGTACAGCCAAGAGGAGACTTCGGGCTAGGGAGCCCACAGCGTTCCCGGCTGCTGTTGCAGGTGAATGTGGGTGCCAGAGGAACCGGTAGATAATGGAAACTTAGGAAAGCTGGAATGGCCGCCATCTAGACGAGAAGGGCAACACTGGGTCACCTGCTCGTCGTGGCGTCCCAGTAGCTCGCCGTGATCGTATAGTGGTTAGTACTCTGCGTTGTGGCCGCAGCAACCTCGGTTCGAATCCGAGTCACGGCATTGTGGAAACAATGGCACGGCAAGGGCGTCTTTTTAGACTGGGAAAGCCACGTTCTTCTGGGAAGCTAACTCTAAAAGCTGCTACTTGTCATAAGGCCAGAGCTGAAATTATAATGGACAATTAAGTGTGCACAAAAAGTTCCATGGACACTCTGGGGCTTTCCTTTCTGTTTTTAATTTTTCATCTGCTAGTGAATCAGTCATCCCCCACCTTCCCCAATATGTGATTATTTTCTTTTTGTGTAGCTTCTGTGTGGTACTCTTTATTTTACCCTTGTCAATGATCAAATCATATGTTGGGTCCTCTAAAATAACCTCACACTAGCTAAAACCTCAATACTTTGGGGACAAACGGGTGACAGGAACAATGTGCAAGCATTAATTAAGGGTTAGAAGAATGCAGATTAGACCATACGCTGAACCATGCTTGCTTCAGATCCCATGAAAGTGAAAAATATGACTGCACTAGAGGTGCTGGTTCCTGTAGCCACTGTGAGGGGTGCTAATGAGAGGTTTGTGGCCTCCATCTCCACAGTCTCCTAGGTGAAAGGAGGTTTTCTCCTGGAGGGTTTTCCCGTAATCTACCTCAAGTTTAAGCACATTTTCTTTGCTTGTTTTATGTGGACCTAAAAAACCCAAACTCAACAAATTCAGGTCTGTCATTTGGCATTAGGCAAAATGGAACTGAGTTTTGGATTTGACTTTCAGGCAGCTAGTGGCAGCTATGTCACTGTCAAGGAGGGGATGAGAGGGGACTGAGGAATGAGCCTCTCCAGCTCCTCTCAGCTATCCTGAGGGTGGCAAGGCAAATCCAAGATCATTCCTGGGAGAGATAGACATTGCAATGGGGTTGCGCCCCCTCTACCCACAATCAATCAGTAAAGAATGACTGAACAGCACTTAAAAGCAAGGCACTGGCCTCGCGCCTGTAATCCTAGCACTTTGGGAGGCCGAGGCAGGTGGATCTCTTGAGCTCAGGAGTTCGAGACCAACCTGGGCAACATGGCGAAACCCTGTCTCTACCCAAAATACAAAAATTAGGGCATGGTGGCGTGTGCCTGTAGTCCCAGCTACCTGGGAGGCTGAGGTGGGAGGCTTGCTTGAACCCAAGAGGCAGAGGTTGCAGTGAGCTGAGATCACACCACTGCATTCCAGCCTGGGCAACAGAACAAGACCCTGTCTCAATAATAATAATAATAATAATAATAATAATAATAAAAAGGCAAGGCACTGCTGGGGGGCTGTAATCTTCTCAGGTCTCCAGTCTCCCAGTTCCCTACATTTGGTGGGTTTAATGACGCACAACAGGATGGCTCAGACCACGAGAGTGTTCTGTGCAAAATAGAACGGGGAAAGGTGAGCCTGAGAACTTGCCAAGCTTTGCATGACTGATTCAAGGGTTATATGTCTAGAAAATCAACATTGTCAACAACAAAAAAAGAACTGGCCAACAGGAAGGTGGTGGCTTATATTCCTCCAGCCCCCCACCAAATAACTGCCTTGACAGATTTCAATCTGTGAACTGGAATAAGGTGTCAAGGTGGGATGCCAGGAAAGGCTCTGGCTTTTCCCCTGAAGACCTGCCCCCACTGCCCTGCTGCAGGTGCTTCGGTAGGCAATGAGCTGCTCCCACATACTGAGGAGAAAGTCAGGAGTAGCCACTCTCTAAGAGTACTACAAGGAAAAAGTGTCAACCAAGAGGCTAGGCATGGTGGTTCATGCCTGTAATCCCAGCAGTTTGGGAGGCCGAGGTGGGAGGATTGCTTGAGCTCTGGAGTTTGAGAGCAGCCTTGACAACATGGTGAGACCCTGTCTCTACAAACAATTCAAAAATGAGCCAGGTGTGGCGGTGTGTACCTGTAGTCCGAGCTACTCAGAAGGCTGAGGTGGGAGGATTACTTGAGCCTGGGAGGTGGAGATTGCAGTGAGCCATGATCATGCCACTGAACTCCAGCCTGGGCAACAGAATAAGAACCTGTCTCAAAAAAAAAAAAAAAAAAAAAAGAGTCAACTAATAAAACAAAAATCACAAAAATTCACCATCTGAGATAACCTGCTAGCCATCCATGTCTGAGGTCGGGAATGCTGAAGAAAGCTGAACTGAAAATGTTGTATTGCGACCTAGTTGCAGGAAGAGTGACGCGAGGGGAGGGTGCTCTCCTGCACTGCGGACTAATGGCCTTTTTGGCAGCTACACAGTAGTCCAGAAGATGGGCACATCCGGCTCTCAACATTTCATAACATCGTCTTTTGAGGTCAGTCAATTTTCCTTACAAAACAGACTTTGATAATGACTTCCCTACAGGAAAAAGCATTGCTTTGAACAAGCTTATTGGCACTGTTCTCCTAACTGTGGGTGTTTTGGTTTAGACTCTTAAGAGTCTGGTTAGCATAATTAATTTCCCTTATGCCTACTTATCTCTAGTTACACCGACAAAATGGAGTGTCTGGGCTAGCAAAGCCAAGAGCTGGAGGCCCTGGCCTGGAATGACCTCATCAAGACCCTGCTGCCCTGGGACACTCTCTCTGAGCAATCGGTCAGCACCCCCTTCCTGTTGGTCTCTTGCTTTTACAATTGTTTTATGATTTCTGATTCTGGGAATGTAATCTTTCCTCTTGTCACTTCCAGCTTGAGGTTGGAACTCTTCTCTAGGTCTCAGTGCCAGGAAAGAGGTAGGCAGTATAAGAGCACCCTGTTCACACATTCCAGCTCCAGTTGTTCCCATCTTGGTTGGATTTGTGAATTTCTGCAGGTTTCCAACCTCTAAGTCACTTTAACTTTTTTTCCCTTCCATCTGAGAGACCCTGAGGTACAGTAGTTGACAGTACTAGACTAGTCCTAACTCTAATTAAGGGGTAGCATAAATTGGGCACGGTGGCTCACGCCTGTCATCCCAGCACTTTGGGAGGGTGAGGTGGAAGGATTGCTTGAGCGCAGGAGTTCAAGACCAGACTAGACAGTATAGTGAGACTTCGTCTCTGTTGGGGGAGCTAGCATAGCTTAGAAATGAAGCCTGTAGCCCCCGAAAGTAGGCTGCTTAAGATTTGAATCCCAACTCATCCACTTACTAACTGGGTGACCCTGGGGGATCAACATGTCTCCATGCCTCAGTTTCCTCATTTGTAAAATGACTGTAAAATGATTTCTCATTTGTAAAAGGATTGTTATGACGATTAAATGAATGAATATTTGTAAAGCAATAGTGCCTGGCACTTACTAAGGCCTACTGAAGTTTTACTTAAATAATACAGTAGATGGGAATATAACATAATGAAATCAACTCCTTAAAAATGAGCACCCTGGAACATAAACATCCAAATGAGTATTGTGTTTCAAATCAGGCATTCCACTTTCTCCAAACAGCTGCCCAAAATATTTTTGGAATTCTTATTTGGAGACTATTTTCAGGGCTAATTTATAAGCCATATGAGTACATCCACCTCAATATTTATAATCACATTCTATTTTGAAATAACTTTTGACTGCTTTTAAAGCCACCTTCAAAGAGAAAAATGTCACCACTGAGTCTTTTAAGATGCAAAAATGTCAATGACAATGCCAGAAATGTTTTATAAGTAACATTCCAGCAAAAGAAAAACAATTTTTTTTTTGGTAGGAGTGTGTAGACTTCAAAGGGCAAACCTACAAGGGACAACAGTAATTTAGAAGCTTCAGATTGTCTGCTTAAACCATCAACCCCATGGTTTCCTGGTTATACTTCCTGGTTATACCTTGTATATCTGGGAGCTGCCAGCCCCCACAGGGGCACAGTGTTGAGCAGCTGCAGTAGCAGCCATATGCCACTGGACCAGCAGGCTCTGGTCCTGGAAGTCTTGTTCAAAATTCAGAATCTTGATCCACAACTCAGAATTACCCAGTGAAAGTCTTCATTTTTAACAAAGTCCTCTCCAAGTGATTCATCTGCATAGGAAAGTTTGAGAAGTGCTGCTCCAGCCTAAAGCTCTAATGGAATCCTTCATTGTTCATCTTTATGAGTACTTGGGTTACTAGAAGGGACCTGCCTAAATCTACTGAGCCTCATCAATCGGGGTGTCATTGAGGTTTTCAAAGTTAGGAGATGGTGATCTGGGAGGGGGTCATCAAAGGGCCCATGTTTAGGGCCGTCTAGGGAGGAGGCAGCACATCTGGATTTCCACTAGAAGGCGCTGTGCCCCAGGAAGTAGTTGTGAAAAGCTGAGGCTGGAAAAGACTCATTTAATTTGCAACATACCACTTCTAACTTAACTGAGCCTGTTCCACAGGGATTCTCTGGATATTCAGGATTCAAATTTCATCCATCTACTTATCCATCCATCCATCCATCCATCCACCCACTTATTCATCATTCATTCATTCATTCATTCTTCCCATAAACTAGCATCTTTTAGTTCTTAAGTCATGGGGTGCTGCAAAGCTGTATAAGATACTTCTTATCCAGAGTAGTTTATTTTTGAGCTGAGTTTGTCAACTGAGATTTGCCCCTCATCCAAAGTCAAGTGACTAGCACAGACTGTTCAAGATGCATTAGTTGGTCTCTTGTTTTTAGGTACTTCTCTCCATATCCACAAAAAGAAACTGTGGGGAGACATTGTACAGGACTTCATTGCTGTCAAGAGACCTGAAACTAATTCCTGAGTCAGGAAGAATGCAGGAGCTGCCTTGCAGAAGCAAAAGTCTAAATCAATGGCTTCCAAACATTTTAGAACTGATAAACTAGGACAAACTTTTCACCATTGAATGAAAAAATGAGGTCAATGTGGTAAGCTTTTGAAATGCTAAATACATTTAATTCAAAGGACTGTCCTCTAGGTTGAGACAATGCCCTTCTCATTTTTGAGGTATTAAAGTGACTTTTATAAAACTATGGAGAAAGTAGGTGTTTGTTTGTTTGTTTTTTAGACGGAGTCTTGCTCTTGGCTCACTGCAACCTCTGCCTCCCAGGTTCAAACAATTCTCCTGCCTCAGCCTCCCGAGTAGCTGGGATTACAGGCATGTACCACCACACCCAGCTCATTTTTGTATTTTGAGTAGGGATGGGGTTTCGCCTTGTTGGCCAGGCTAGTCTCAAACTCCTGACCTCAGGTGATCCACCTGCCTCAGCCTCCCAAAGTGTTGGGATTACAGGCGTGAGCCACTGCGCCCAGCCAGTGATAGGTTTTAAAAAACATCTTTTCTTGGAAACATTTTAAATTGGCAATGTTGGTCTCCAAAATTAGTTTTGAGTTACTGGCCAGTAAAATCTGAAAATACAAAGCTCACTACAGAGCCCAGAGAGCAGAAGAATCAGGCTGAGCAGTAATGGTTCTGGGTGAGTAGAGGGTCTGAGGAGGCATGCTCAGAGGGAGATGTGTTCCTGTTCTGTTGGGCAATGGTCCATGCTGACACCTATCCTCCTGCCCAACAACCAGTTGTGCCTAGTACAATCTGTGCTAGGCCTTGGAGATATGAATTAAATAAGATCCATTCTTACTCTGAGATCATTTTAGTTCGGGGTTAATCAGATGGGTGAAGAACTAATTAGAACTATGCCAGACATATATAAAGTGTATTGGAGCTTAGATCATTGATTCTACCAGGATACAACATTTGATCTGAGTTCCAAGGCATGCATAGTACTTTTCCTGGAAAAGAAAGGGAAAGGATATTCTATAGCTACTCGGGAGGCTGAGGCAGGAGAATCACTTGAGGACGGGAGGCGGAGGTTGTAGTGAGCTGAGATCGCTCCACTGCACTCCAGCCTGGGTGAGAGGATGAGACTCTGTGTCAAAAAAACAAACAAACAAACAAACAAACAAACAAACTCGGAGAGGGGAAGGGTATTCTAGGCAAAGAGAAAGGCAGAAGTAAAAGCAAGGAAGTATGAATGTACAGATAGCATAGAAAAGACAAGTTGTAGCTACAACATTAGATATGGAAGGGAGGGAGGCCGGGGAGGGCGGATCACATGAGGCCAGGAGTTCAAGACTAGCCTGGCCAATATGGTGAAACCCCATCTCTACTAAAAATACAAAAATTAGCTGGGAGCAATGGCACATGCCTGTAATCCTCCCTTAAACAAACCAACAAAGAAACAACAAAGATATGAAGGAGAGAGTGGAGGGTGAGAGAGGGTGGAGCCAAATCGTGATGAATCTCTTACCTTTATTGAGTCAGGCCTTTTTCCTGGAGACTGATGACATTGCTTTGGGGATCCATTGACAGCCATAGCCTGGTTCTCCAAACTAATACACCTATGATAAAATATCAGGAATTCACAAATTTCCTGAAGGCTGTCCATAGGCTTTGTATCAGGCATTGCAGGGAGAGGGGCATTTAAGTTCCCATTTTTAAGCAGAAGAGAGACATAGTCATATCTGTGTTTTAGAAATGATAGGTGTAAATGGATAATTATATCCTGATAAAAGTCTTTATTCAGGAGAGACAGAAGAGAATTTCTGCTCCTTGGACTAGTAGTTGATGTTGGAGTTTAGGGACAATACTCATCTGGGGATGGACGAGGGACTCTTCCCTCAAATCACACCCATAGGTGTTTTATCTTTAGTGTGGAGGTACAGGGGATGAACATGTTGGATGAAAAAAAATGGATATGAGGCTTGAGTGTGTCATCCAGAAGATCACCAGGATGGCTAGATAATAGAAAGGAGAGCTATATTGGTGATACCAGTTTGCAGCTGGGAAGAGAAAGTCTCCAACCTGGGCCAATGGAGCTGCTTCTTCTTCTCCTTCTCCTTCTCCTTCTCCTTCTCCTTCTTCTTCTTCTTCTTCCAACAACCTGGTCCAATGGAGCTCTTTCTTCTTCTTCTCCTTCTCCTTCTCCTTCTCCTTCTCCTTCTTCTTCTTCTTCTTCTTCTTTCTTTTTTTGAGACAGTATTTCATTCTGTTGCCCAGGCTGGAGTGCAGTGGTGTGATCACAGCTAACTGCAGCCTTGAATTCCTGGGCTCAAGCCATCCTCCCATCACAGCCTCCCAAGCAGCTGGGACCACAGGCACATACCACCACACTTAGCTAATTTTTGTATTTTTTGTAGAGACAGGGTTTCACCATGTTACCCAGTCTGGTCTTGAACTTCTGTGCTCAAGCAATCCACCCACCTCAGCCTCCCAAAGGGCTGGGATTACAGGTGTGAGCCACCTCACCCGGCCTGCTCTTTCTTCAAGGAGGGGAAGGACAGGTTGGGTTTTATGCTTCACAGAGTTGGTGTCATACATATTCAGCAGATTTGGGGAAAAGCTATACATATTTATGAGGGGAACTGAGTGTATGTGCAATGAGTAAACATGTATGTAACATACATACCATGTTTACTTTGGGGTAAGGTTTTGGCATTAAAATGAGGTGGAATTGGCTGCACATCAAAAGGTGAACTATAGGACACAAAGGCAATTTGTGCATAGCCTCTATAAGCTGTCTGAAACTGGCTTAAGGTCTGCAATAGCTTCTGAGAAAAGAATATTTGTAAGGCTGGTCCTCTGTCTAATCAGACTGTTGTCTGGGTTTTAAATCAGAGTTCATAGCTCCTATTGTTAGGGACCTTAGCCATAGGAATTTAGCAATTTGCTATGCCAGCTTGAACCTTGGACCCATAAATAAGTTACTTCCCTTAACCTTTGGGTCTATCTTACTTGATAAAGGGGCATCTATTTTGGTCTCTCAGATCAAAAGAGGAAGATCTAATATCAAGTATATAACGTTTTCTAGAGTCAGTAGCCAAAACAGCATGGAAAGAGACATATCCATGTTATACTGATATCATTGTTAGTTTTGAGCATTTGACATGATGGTACACTGTGCAAATTTCAAATGTAATTTTAAGTTAAAAGGGAGAGATACATACAAAAATTGCAACAATCTGACTTGAATTTGTTTTATTTCCAAACTTTCTTCTAAATTTCAGTCAGGCTAGCCACAGTGTCTCATGCCTGTAATCCCAGCACTTTAGGAGGCCGAGGTAGGCGGATCACTTGAGGTCTGGAATTCAAGACCAGCCTGGTCAACCTGGTGAAACCCTGTCTCTACTACAAATACAAAAATTAGCCAGGCGTGGTGGTGCGCACCTGTAATCCCAGCTACTCAGGAAACTGAGGCAGCAGACTCGCTTGAACCCAGGGGGTAGAGGTTGCAGTGAGCTGAGATTGCACCATTGCGCTCCAGCCTGGGCAACAGAGAGAGACTCCGTCTCAAAAATAAAAATAAAAATAAATAAATTTCAAAAAGTCAAACTGTTTCTGTATCATGACTACTCTGGTTGACTGGCCTTGTCCTGAGTCTAGATAAATTATTTTTAATCATATAATCAAACCTGCAAATAACTTCTTTTTCCTTTAATTCTCTTTGGTCAAATGCTCCAAGAAAACTCACAGTGATTCACAAGTTCATATGTTCACAAATTCTCTGATACTCCTCCCTTCAAGAAGTAGAGCTTAGCCAGGCTTGATGGCACAAGCCTATAGTCCAGCCACTTGGGAGGTTGAAGTGGGAGGATCAACTGAGCCCAGGAGTTTGAAGTTACAGTGCACTATGATCATGCCTGTGAATAGCCACTGCACTCCAACCTGGACAACATAGCTAGACCCCATCTCTAAAAAAAAATTTTTTTAAAGAAGTAGAGGCCGTGTGTGGTGGCTCACACCTGTAATCCCAGCACTTTGGGAGGCCCAGGTGGGTAGATCACTTGAGATCAGGAGTTCGAGACAAGCCTGACCAACATGGTGAAACCCCGTTTCTACTAAAAATACAAAAAAAAAATTAGCAAGGCATCATGGCGCATGCCTGTAATCCCAGCTACTCAGGAGGCTGAGGCAGGAGAATCATTTGAACCCAGGAGGCAGAGGTTGCGGTGAGCCGGGATCACACCACTGCACTCCAGCCTGGGTGACAAAGCAAAACTTTGTCTAAAAAAAAAAAAAGAGTGAGATAATCAATGCCTGTCTTTTAAAGCTGCTAAGTTTTCAGGTAATTTGTTACACTGTGATAAGTAACTAATACAGATTTTGTTACCTAGAAGTGGGGGCACTGCCATAACAAAAACCTAAAATGTGAAAATGGCTTTGGAATTGGGGAGCCTTGGAGGAAAGTGTTAGTGAAAAGTCTGAACAACTTGAAGAAGCCTCAGGGCCCTTGAGGAGATTGTAAGTGAGAGCACAAAGGAGGAAAGTGAGGAAAATCTTGCTGTCAATTGGAGGAAAAGGGTCATTATGATAGAGCAGCAAAAAGTGTAGCAACACTGCCACCTGGGGTAATGTAGAAAGTAAAATTGTACCAAATGAACTGCATGATCTAGCGAAAAGATTTCCAGGCAACCTGTTGAAAGCGTCTCCTGGTTTCTTCTTATTGTTCATAGTAAAATGCAAGAGGAGAGAGATAAGTCAAGAACTATTCAACATGAAGGACATGAAGGAACCAGAATATGAGGGGTTTGAAAATTTTCAGCCTCTCTAACTGGTTAAATGTAAGAGATAGATTCGGTTTTTGGGGTTTTGTTTCTGTTTTTGTTTTTTTAGAGACAGGGCGTCGCTCTGAGGTCCAGGCTGGAGTGCAGTGGAATGATCATAACTCACTGTAGCCTCAAACTCCTGGACTGAAGCAATCCTCCTGCCTTGGCCTCCTGAGGCTCTGGGGTTATAGGCATGAGCCACCGTGCCTGGCCAAGAGGTGAATTCTGAGCAAAGATCACATCTAGGGCACTACAGGGAAAACATAGTCTAAAGACAAAGTAAAATTCTTTGTCACAATGATCCAAGTTAGAGCCTCAGAGTACCATTCAGTAAGACAAAAGGCCCTCTAAAGATTTTAAGGGTATGCTTTCTAGATACTCTCTGTTAAACAGTGGCGCTTTTCAAAAGCTGAAGAGCACTGCACCTCAGCCGAAGCCCAATATTGAGAAGGCCTTATTGCAGAGAGGTTTGTGGCTGCTATCTTAGACTTATGGAATGAACCACAGAAAGATTCACAGAAGATCCACAACATTTTAGAACCATATTGGCA